GTTCAGAAATGTCTTTCTGTGTCTTACCCTCTTGCTTGAGGGTGTCAGTGATGTCCTTCTGGAGTCTGACCCATGATTGTGGTTTTGAGTAATGAACCAGACTGGGAGTTTTTAAAAGCCTCAGGAATCTTTTGCAGGTGTTTAGAGTTAATTCATTGATTCAGATGATTTGGTTAATAAGACATTTAGAGAACCTTTTCATGATATGCTAATTTTTTGAGATAGGGATTTTTGGTTTTTCTTTACTTTTTTGCCAAAATCATCAATATTAAAACAATAAAAGGCTTGAACTACTTCAGTTGGTGTGCAATGAATCTAAAATATATGAAAGTTTAATGTTTATCAGTAAATTACAGAAAACAATGAACTTTATCACAATATGTTAATTTTTTGAGAAGGACCTGTACAAGTACACTTTACCCAGTCATAGTAAAGTGATTGTAAATTTTAATTGTGATTAAAATTTTTAATCTATGTCCATGCAGCACTAAAATTAATCAGATTTAACTCGATTCCACAGCCCTAATAAAAATATAAGAAAAACATAAAAATGTTTGGACAGAAATAGTAACATAGAGACACATGACATATATAATAATTTTAAACATATGATATCTGCAGATGGTTAACAAGAAAAAATTTTTTCCCTCTAACTCTGGTGTGTAAACAAATAGTTCCCTGCTGCTGCTGTGCATGTACTTTAGYAGGACTGTACATTAGCATTTATAGCACAGGTGCTACAGGTTGGTTTTGTAGCACAGAACAAAAGGTTGTAGCACCAGCATAAAAAGCCTGTTACAATCTCTAAAAAACATGTAGTTCATATCATTACTTAAACACACTGATAAAAGACAGCACTGAAGATTTTGTTCAATTTCATTAAACACATGGTTCATGCAGGGTCTTAAAATGTCTAAAGTCTAAAACTTGAAAATCAAAATTTTAGGCCTAAAAAGTCTTAAAAACACCCAGATTTTCATCCAAGGTCTTAAATTTAATTTGTGAAGTCTTAATTTTTTTAACTTAAGATCATTCCCGAGAAGCGTCGGTTGCATAAATAGAATAAAAGCGCTGTAATCAGAGGTTGACGCGATCTGTCTTCATGAAGTGCTAAGTTTTCTACTGGTCTTTGTACGTGGTTAAACTACAAATCCTGTAATAACTGCAGGCAAAATATGGCACACTTCCATGTTTTCGACCTCTTTGCTGCTACAACCTTATTCACCCGCCTAAAAAACAAAGAAGTTCAGTCATGTGTGTTTTCAATGAGACTTGCATTTAGATGGAAGCGGTCCATAGCAGTCGATATGAAAGTCTCATAGATATGACTGTTTCGTTAAAATAATRTATTGTTCTTATATTGAAATTAAATATTTTTAATAGTTAAACTGATAGCAATAAAATGGTTTCAATGTTAAAATTTTTGGGACCATTTGAATGTTTCTGTTAATGCATTGGTTCAGTCTTAAATGTCATTCCTATTGGTCTTAAAAGGTCTTTAAAAGGTCTTAAATTTAACTTACTGAAACAAGGTTTGGGCATAATTGTATCGTGTGCAATTAATCGTTAGAAAAACAATCGATTATTTTTTGGCACTTGACGATTAATACGATTAATGCCACCAGGCAGACTGACTGGTGCTCCTCTCTGCTTCAAATATGACAAATATTAAAATAAAAGTTCTGTAATTTTTTTTATCAATACAATTTAAAATTTGATCTTACGCCTGAAGTCTCTGATTTTGACACAATTTGGAACAGATTTTTACGAAGAGCAAGGATTTTCCACTAACTTGGTCATGTAACTAGGACATAAGGGCGTCCAGGTTCTCCAGGGGATTAATCGTTAAATTTATCTTTATCCGCTAAATACCACGATTAATCGTGATAAGTTTTTTTGCCAATATTTCCCAACCCTAACTGAAACCTACATGAACCATGTAAACAGTTTTCAACATTAAGTGGGTTTTGGGTAAATATATTTTTACAGTGTATTCAAGCCAACCAAAATAGAGAAGATCATCTAAAAGGTTTTCAACTGGCCTGCTGATGTTCTGTGTTGTGTACCGTATAGACAAGGCCCAAGCCACTCTGAGTCTTGGAATGGACCTCAACCTGGATTGGATGACTCTAGATGACTTCCAGAAACATCTAAATGGAGAAGATGAGATCTTATCGGGGCCACCATTATCACCCAGTGAGTCTTTTTATTTTAAACAACAAAGCTATCATTAATTCATTTTCAAAGCCTGCTTAGCTTTGGGTTGCCATTAATTATTTTTATGGTATTCATATTAAAGGATTTATTTTTGTGCAAAACATTAAAACAATTTTGTAAGCAATTTGTTGAGTCAACTTTGATATTTATTGTTTGACACAAAGGTCAACAGTAAACTAAGACAAATTAATATTTAAATAGTGGTTTAAAGAGCCAACACTGACTAAAGAAGTAAAATGAAGCTTTCAGTGTTGATGTATATTTTTAAAAAGCCAGAATAATGTACATGTGTAGGGATACTGTCTGTAAGAACTAAAGCTTAACGTGAAAATCCTTTTTTAATGCAGCAACTTGGTCATCAAAGTCATCAGAAAATGGAAACAAATATAACACAACCTCAAAATATAAATGTATTAGAAATCCACTGTAAAACACTTTTTAGCACCTTTTTTCCCTGTAATTTTTAGCAGCTTTACGCATTGATTGTATCACTTAGTCAACAAGTCTGCAACATTCCACATTTATAGCTGTGTAAAGCTACAGCAGAAAGATGCTGATGTAATTTCTGTCAATAGGAATAGGAATGTAAGCATGTCACAACCAAGTCTTGTGACAGTATTAACTGTTAGGTTGTATGTAACCCACTGCGCCTGTGTCGGTTGGGAAGGATGTGGCAGGTGGGAGTTCAGTTTTAGATTCAAACATTTACAGTGTGCACAGTCAGTCATTTTAATGGTGACTATTTAAGCGTGGATTCTCACATCATCAGTGTGATTATTGAATTAACACTGGTCACAGAGGATGGCCACAGCTGGGAATTACAAAGTTCCTACCCCATTTGATAAGACATCTTATGAAAGTTAGAAAAATTAGATTAAAATCTCATTATGACTTGGACAAAAAGAAACAGGCAGGCTGTACCCTGCCGCCATCGGGACGAGCGAGGGAAAGGGTGCTGGAATGCGCATGAATGTTCTTCTGACCAAGCTTTACTCCGTGTTTTTAAAAGAAGAAAAGGACCAACAGTACAAACAGGGTTCCCACGGATCCTTAAAAAGTCTTAAAAGGCATTGAATCCATCAATCGAAAAATAAGGCCTTAATTAGCCTTAAAAGGTCTTAAATCAATCTTTCAGAGGTCTTAAAAATGTAACATATTGTAAATAGGACGACTGTATTTGTCTCATATTAAAATAAGTGGTAACATTTATTTTATTTTTAAACAATTTACAAAATTCACCGCAGCTAGTTTTATGTTAAAATAAACATTTGGGTAAAAAAATATTTAAATTTTATTTTTATTTTTTCCACAATTGTGTTTATGGTGAAGTTGGTCTTAAATTTCCTTTCAAGTGGCTTTAAAAAGCATTAAAAAGTCTTAGATTTAACTTGCCTTAAGCTGTAGGAACCCTGACAAAGCTTGCATAGTTTGATCGGACCAACAGACAGGAYGGCATGTCCACCATGAATTGCATTATGAAATTTGAACGACAATACAAGTTGCATGACTTCAAAATGATCAAACTCAAAGCAAGACCCAAGAATGGCTGCGGGGACTAATCCACTGGACAAATATAAAATGGTTAAATGGGCCTTTATCACTGGACAAAGGGTTGTCCTAATGAGAGAACATACGAAGCTAACAAATGTTGAAGGGTCAAAAGATGGTGTTGAAAAGTGGAATATTACTGTTTTCAGGCATATCTCCCTCTGATGCACAGATCTTTATGTTAGAGGCTTTACGATCTGCTGTGATTGACACTGCCTGTACAAGAACTGTTTGTGGAGAAAAATGGCTCGCAGTTTATGTTAGTGGGCTACCTCAAAGAGAATTAATAACCTGTAAAGATGAAAGAGTGCAAGACCTTTCTGGTTGGGGGATTTAAAAATTGTGCAATCCACAAAAGTGGATTTACTAGCAAGAATAGGAGAAACTACTAGATGAAAATAGAGACAAAAATATTTCCAGCATATGTACCGATGCTTTTAAGCAAAACTTCACTGAAGAGAGCAAGTGCTGTTTTGGACATGTTTTTTGGACAACAATGTTTGACCGATTTGTAAAACTTGAACTGATATCTTCCGGACATTATTTAGTAAACTTGAACGGAAAGGAACACAAGTGAAAGCCAGTTAAAATACGGTGAGACACCAAATGAAGACAAAATTCCTGTGACAGAAAACAYGGCGACAAATGATAAAAAGGCAGTACTGCAATAGTCACAAACAATTTGGACATTCCTCAGTTGACAGACTGCAAAAAACTCATCTTGCTCAGGCAACAGTGTAACATAATAAGTAGAAATATTGTTACATAATATTCTAATCTGTTTTGTATTCTTTAAAGAAAGAGGGGAGATTAAGTTGTATGTAACCCACTGCACATGTGTTGATTGTTAGGGATGTGGCAGGTGGGAGGAGTTGAGTTTCAGAGGAAAGAAGTGTACAGTGTGCACAGTTAGCTGGTCATATTAATGGTGACCATTAAAGTGTGGATTCTCACATCAGCTGTGTGATTATTGAATTAACTTTAACGTCTGAACCACACTTGTGTCGTCATTAAATTATATAAAATTAAGCAAGTCTGAATTGGACTTTTCAGTCTTTTTAAATTGCAAAACATTTTCTCTATTTCTAAATAGTAYAACATAAGCTTTAGTTTGTCTAAACCTCATTTGACTCTTCTTTGTGCCGGTCAGGTGAGTTGCGAGATGCTGTGAAAAATGGAGACTACATGGCTGTAAAGTTGGCCTTAAACTCCAAAGAGGACTACAATCTTGAACAGGAGGTATGTACCCTCTTATTCAAACAGTTTAATAGACATTTATAATAAATCATTCATCCAGCCATCCCTTTTTTCTTGGTCAGCTTGTGCCTTTTTTAATTTTGTATTGTTACATACAGTATAACGAAAACTTTCTGAGCTCGCAATTTCAAGACAAAAGCACATTTTGCAGCTTGCACCTTGGTTGCCCTAAGTGTGTGTGTGTGTGTGTGTGTGTGTGTGTGTGAGTGTGTGTGTGTGTGTGTGTGTGTGTGTGTGTGTGTGTGTGTGTGTGTGTGGGAAGGGATGGATCTCATTAAATGAAAATGTACCTTCTTTTAGGGCTGCAACTAACGATTATTTTAATAATCGATTAATCTGTTGATTATTTTTTCTATTAATCGGCCAAATCATTAAAACGCTTAATTACACGAATATGAGTAGATATAAATTAACTCCTTAAGGATGCAAGTTATTGATAATGAATTAATC